CCCCCCCCCCATCCCTATCGCCACCAGCTCTTCCTCCCTAATGGGAGGAAACAAACAGGGACTTTCTTAAACTGCAGCCTGGATCAGGGCCACTCTCCTGCTTCAAGCCCCTGGGTTTCCTAGTATTTGGGGGAGGACGTCCAAATCCTCACCGGGGTCTCCAGGGCAGCCTTGCTATGATCCAGCCTCCCCAACTGGTCCATTGCCATGGCCTTTTGCTCTGCTCCAGGCACACTGGCCACTTTGTCACAGGCCTGGCTCGGTCTTGTCCTGGGACTCTGCTCTCACCATTCTCCTTGTCTAAAGCACCTCTCACCAGGATCTCATCGTTTGGGATGAGATGCCCCCTCCTCAGACAGGCTCTCCTTGACCCCTGATCAGGAGCCCCCCTCCCGCGCATCCCCGTTTATTGCCTCCAACGTGCTTTGCACAACCCGCACGTCTCTTGAGTATTCACTTGCTTCCGCCTATCCCTCCTCAACGGAGTGTGAGCTCTGTGAGGCTGGGGCTTTGCCCGTCTCGTCCGTCACAGTATGCCCAGCATGAGGAGCAAATGCTCCTTACATCGTAGGTGCTCAACCGACAGTCCCTGATAAGCGAATGAAGCCCCTCTGGGCCTTTGGGATCGAGTGTCTGCCCTTTGGCCGAGCTACCACTAGATGGGGATCTTTTATTTAGTTACTGGAGCTGAAGTGTGTGTGTGTGTGTGTGTGTGTGTGTGTGTGTGTGTGTGAGAGTGTGTGTGTGTGAGTGTGTGTGTGTGTGTGTATGTGTGTGTGTGTGTGGTTGTGGCTTCCCCTTTCTAGAGAACTGCACCCCAGTTCCCTGTTTACAGGGAGAGTGGTTTGGCTGCGGCATGCACGGAGTGCTCCCTACGAGCTTCTGGTGATGGCAGTGGTGCATCCGGGAAGAAGAGCCCTTTGAAGTTGGATCCAGTGCTGACTGTCCTCTGTTTGTTTGCCTTTCTCCCTCCGAAGTCCAACTCCTGCAGCAAGCTGTCCTCCCACGTCTCCCTGGAGACTTGATTTCTCAAGGCACGTCGACACCCACCCCACGCTTCAGCTGCGCCCTCCACTCACCCACTGGAAATGGGCCAGGAATGCTCGCGCCCCTGGCTCTGGGCTCCGCCGCTCCCACCCTCCCTGACACCTGGGTCACCTTTGCCCTCGTGTTCCCCCTTTCCATCTGTGAGCATCCTCCAGGATCCTCCAGGCCCCAGCTCCCCCGGGAGCCCCTCCCAAGCCACGCCCCATCCCCTCTGGGTCTCTCGCCTCGACCGCCTCGAGCATGCCCCTTGCTTCCCTCCCGGGTGGCCGCCACAGTCTGCAGGGGCCAAGGGTCCGCCACTTGGTCTCGTGGCTGGTGTTCTCAGGGTGCAGGGCCCTGCCCCCTTCAGCCTGGCTCTCCTCCGGAAAGGGCCTGGCACCCTGTGCTGTCACTCACCCCGGCGCTGTCTTTCTGGAAGCCTGAAGTGAGACTCCTTTCTCACTCTGCCTTGGCCTCCTGGTTATCTCTGTCTTCTGTTCCTCTCTTCTTCTTTACCGTCTCACTTCTCCACACCTCCTTTGTCTTTTCGCTCACTTTCCCGTCCCTTTCTCACTTTGTCCTGTCCTTGCCAATGCACGGAGTAGGACCCTCTCCTGACACGCAGTGTGACCTCTGATGCTCCCCTGGGCCCCAGGCCTGCTGGAACTGATCCCGAGCAGGGGTCGACGGCATGGGCTCTCATTCCTGGGGCATCCCACAGCCGTGGCAGGACCAGACCTGTTAAGACCCGAAAGGAGAGGCAGCCCCAAGGCTAGAAATGCCCTGTTTGCAAGCCATCTTTTCAAAAGACAAACCCAAATCTGTTCCTGCATCTTCTAGTTTGCTAGCAGGGAAACTGAGGCATGAGAGAGGAACATGGCTTCAGGGCATTCTTTCTCATTCCACGACAGACTCCCATAAATAGGATGAAGCAGGACGCTCCACATCGCTGCCCTCCGTGAACTCAGCCTCCTGCCGAGGCTGCCACCTCCCTGCATCCCAGGCCTCCTCCCTGCTCTCCAAATTCTCTCGAGTCTCTGGTTCGATCTCAGGGCCTTCAATACCAATCACAGTGCCGATGACTCTCGGGTTCTCATCCCAGCCCAGTGTCCCGCCTGAGCTCAATACTCCAATGTGCTCAGGTCCACCCGACTTCCCTCACTGGTGGGTGTCTGATTCGCATCTTGAACTCCTTGCTGTGTTCTCACAGCTGTTTCTTCCCCATTTGCAGAAACTCAATAGACGACAGTTTACCTGTGGCCGCCCTGGCCCAGAACCTTGGATTCAGTCTCTTTTTCCTTCCCACCCCACATCCAGCCCATCAGCAGGCCCTGACAATTTACCTCCGTGACACCCAATATCTGGCACTTCTCCCCTCCACTTTACCATCCGTGGTAGCTTCTCCCCAGTGCTCCTGACGCAGCTCACTCACACCACCCCACCTTTTCTCCCTTGCTCCCCAACCACCCCGGACAGTGGTCAGAGTGATCTTTCTAGAGCAACATTAGAGCTATCATTTCCCGCTTCAAATGCTCTGGCAGCCTCCCCTGCCACTGGAGGAGGCGGTGAGCTCCTTCCCTGTCTGCCCCTCCCCCAAGCCCCACGAAGGAACCCGTTCCCCTGTGCGACACCAGCCCCGGCCACCCGCTGCCTCTGCTCCTGCCACACTAGCCAAAGGCCACCTGGAGTAGCCAGCCTTCCCTCCTTCTGTTGTCATCATTCTGTAGCCTGTCACCTTGTCATAGCACTGGTCAACACCCGAGTGTACTTTACTTCTGAATATTTTGTGAGCTGGATTCCTCCCAGAAGGCAGGCTCTTTCTGCCCAGGGAGTTTGTGTTTTCATCGTACGTCTTCAGCTCTGAACACGAGCTTGCCTGCCTGGACGCTCACCGTCTGTGGGTCAGAGAAAGGGTCCTCATCCCAGGACCCGGGAGGCCCGGTTCTCGGGCCAGACCCACCACCTGTGTGTGCTTTAGAACCTTAGGCAAGTTGCGTGTCCCCAAGCCTGTGTCCTCCGCTTTCAAATCAGGAAACAGATACTTATGTTAACTATCTCATGAGGTTTTCGTTCATTCACTCGTCAAACCGACAGGTCCTGAGTTCTTAACATGTGCCTGGCTTTTGGCTAGGACCTGGGGGTACAGGTCTGAGCAAGCAGACCCCACATCACTTAGCTCCAAGGGCGTCCCTCTCTGTGGGTTCCAGTGAGGATGAGTGCCCCCCACGCCCCCACAGGACAGGCTTGTTCCTTGCTCTCCGGAACTCACATTTGGGTTGGCGGGAGAGGGGAAGCCTAAGACAAGGTAATTTCAGGTGGAGACCAATGCTAGGAGAGGAAAAGGGGTGATGTGTCAGGGACAGAAGTGTTGTGAGGGATCAATTCAGCAGTGATGGAGAAAGATCTTTGCAAACTGCAAATTCCAGTGGTTCTCATGTTCACCTTCCCTCTTTGGCAGAGGGAGAAGGGCGGAGGCTCCGACGTGCCTCTGGCTGGAACCTGGCTGGCCTCCCACGGCCCCTGCACAAGCCACACATGCATGTGTGGGTGGAGGAGGGGGCGCCTCCGCGGCTAATCTTAAAGTCCCTTGCAAATTCCAAGTGCTTATGTAAGCCCAGTCAAAGGAGGGATAATGACCTCCCTGGTTGCCCGAGGGCAGCCTTCCCCACCTGGCAAATTGGCCCCAAGGCTTGGGTTCCAGGCCTTTCTCTGCACGGATCTTCTGGTGACATTTAAAGACACGGACAGGCCAAGTTGTTTTTCTCCTTTCCCCTTCCCTGCTCACCAACTACATCCCAGATCAGCCCTTGGTTGCTAGGCAACTGGGGACCAGGCTCTGGTACAGGATTTCAGAACTTGGAGGCTGGGGGGAGGGGAGGGGCATTAACCCTTGCAAGGCAGCTCTTTGAACTGCAGAGTAACCGGAGTGGGGGGGGGAGAGCTTTTCTTCTCTAGGGAGTTAATGACGTTAGCGCAAGGGGATGCAGGTGCAGAGGAAATGCTTCAGAGCAATCTCCTAACAGTGATGAAGAAAATCCCAGTGCTTTTCCACCAAAGCGAAGGGGAAAAGAAAACTTTGATGCAAAAAGAAGTCTCAGCTTCTAAAAGGAAAGGCACTACCTAAGCACCTGCTATGGGCCAGCCCCTTCAGCGGGGTTACTTTAGCAACCTTAGGAAGGGCAGACTCTTATCCCCATTTTACAGACGAGGAGACTGAGGCCCAGGATGGTTGTGTAATTACCCAGCTAGAAGGAGTGCAGCTGGGGTTCAGACCCAGCTCTGCCAGACCCCGAGGTATGTGCTCTCTCTGGGCCTCTTAGCAGGGTCCATAGCGCTAGAACAGAAAGATCTGGGCGTTATAGATGAGCCGAGACCATCTGCCTTTCTCTGCCCCCTCACGAGCATGCTGCCCACAGGACAACAAGATTTGCATCTGTGTGAGCCCTCCAACCAAGTGTGTCCCCCCTGCCACCCTCCTGGCAGCCCCATGCCGCTGGGGAGGGCAGTGTAAGGCAGGGACACTGGTTCTGGGGGCAGACGGCCTAGGTCGGGATCGTGACTCTTCTTTTCCTGGCTGCGTGACCTCGGCCATCTCCGCTAACCTCTCTGAGCCTCAGGGTCCTTCCTGATAATCATGCCCACCCCAGGGGTGTATCACAGGGGTCCAAGGTGCGGTATGTAATGCACATGTCACCGATGCTCAGAGACCACAGCTACTGCTATTATACCCATTTCATGGATAAAGAAACTGAGGCCCAGAAAACTCAGGCCAAGCACTGTGTTCCAGAGCACTGGAAAGGCTCCAGACACATGCGTGTTAATGTTGCCTGTTACTCGGATCACACTCTTGCCCTCTCTGGGCCTTAGTCTCCCTGTCACTACCATAAGGTGTGGGTCTAGAGGGTCTCTAAGGGCGCTTTCAGCTCTGGAGTGTGCCAGGAGAGCATGACCCGAGGCTGCCTTGCTCTGCACCTGGCCCCCACACAGCGCTGGCTTTGGAGGGGCACCCAGCAGGCACTCAAGCAATGCTGGGCAAGTAAGTGAATGTTCCTGTGTCTGGTTTGTGGGCTCAGCACGTATCAGCAGCAGACCCGGGATCAGAACCCAGATCACTCAGCTCCCGGCCCCACTCTTGAGAGCAGGGGCTTGGCAAGGCGGGGTGGGGAGGACAGGGGGTCGACCTGGCACTCACCGGCTGGGTCAGCTGAGGCGGGGGATACTGATGTCCCCCGACCCCACCCCAGTGCTAACTCCCTAAGCGGGGCTCTGGACTGCGGGGGCCCTGCTCAAGCTTCAGGAGCCGCTAACTGCCTGGCGGCATCTATGGAAAGCACAGCCCAGACCCTAAACTTCCCAGCCCAGTGCCCAGTCCCTGCCCACACCGCCTACCGCTGCCCAGCATGTGCCAAGCAGATGTTCCCGTGTGCCACCTCGGGGGAGGGGGCTCCGGGCTCTCCCCCAGGTCACTCTTCTCTGTCTCCTGGGCTCCCAGGCTGCGGCTCTGGCCTCACGGGGGAGGGGGAACAGAGGTGCTAAAGAAGATGCTCAAAAAAAAAAAAAAAAAAAAAAAAAAAAAAAAAAGAACGCAGTAGCAGCAGGTGCAAAGGGCTGAGGCTTCTTCCAGGGCTGCGACCACAGCGCGCACAGGCTGCATCTGCTGAAAATCCACTTCCCTCCTCAGGGCATCTTTTCCCTTCTTTCCTGGTATTTGCACTTTATGGGGGCATCAGAAGACAGAGGTCCTCAAATGTATTTCCTCTAAAAGGGAGAACTTTTCAACCACTTTAAGATAACACTTGACATGACAGATATTATGATCAAGACGAAAAGAGATGAGAAGGAACCATATGAAAGCAGGACCATGTGCCAGGCTGAGAAGAGCCAGGGGCACTTTTTCTGTGTGTGCCCCCCTACAGCCAATAGCCAGGCTTGTCCCGCCCCCAATCCCACCAAGTGGGGCCCAGAGGGGTGGGGAGAGGTGGTCAGAAACTCTGTCCCTCCCTCCGAGGGCATCGTGAGCCAAAGCAAACAACACTTCCGGGGTAATCTCCTCCAGCCCCCTCTCCTTGCCCCTCCACTAGGTCCTGATCCTGTCCCATCTCCTGTACGTGGCCTTGGGGACCTCCCAGAAGAGACACTGCTTTAGGTGTGAGCACAGTCATGGCCAGAGAGCTCCAACACAGAAGTCTCCTTGAGCTCATGCTGGAAAGAGGGTTCTCCCCATCAACAGTGTGTCTGGGGCCAGAGGCTGTGAAGGCTGAGAAACAGACCAGGCTGTATCTGGCCTCAGATGGCAGGGATCTGAGCCACCAGCAGCTCCCCATGGCTCAGGTCTCACCACTGGACCAGGGAGACCGTGTAGCTGTATTGCTTGGTCAATCTGGGTGTGTCCTGAGCTGGGGCCCTGGGTGGGGGGGGGGTACTGGGGAGCCCTGGGGTCTAGGCACTGAGCACCCTCCCTAAGGGGGAGATGAAGGGAAGGGAGGTGGTGGTTCCCCGACCTCGGGAGGAGACAGGTGGACTCCAACACATTCACAGCTGAGCACGAATACACACGGGGAGGAAAGCAGTTCATGCAACTCCACAAGGCGGGGTAGGAGGCCAGTCGCCCTGAGGGGCACTCAAACCACTGGTTCCACCTGAATGAACGGCATTCGCGAGAAGGCTACAGCCCAGTGACTTCAAATGGGCTTGCTCTTCAAACTTGCCCTACACAAACCCCACACCCCGGTAGCCCCAGAACATGCCCCGGGATATTAGGGGCCACGCCCCACGTGTGGGACACTCGGTACTTGCCCACCCTTGTCCTTTGCTCTCCTCCCTGAATGGCCTCAACGACATGTGAGTTCTCTTCCCCGTCCCCCTCCTATTTACTTTTGTGTCCCCCATGGCACCTACTAGCGCTTGGCGTGGAGTCGCCCTTAACAAATATTTGTTCAACTGAAAGACAGCCGAGCTGCTTTGTTAACACATGACAGACATAAGGAGGAATGTTCTCAACAGCAACGGTTGCCAGGCGAAGCTGCAAGATTCCATGTCGTCTCAAGTCAGCCACTATTTATTGAGCAGGTACTATACCCCAGGCACCATGCTCCATGCTCCCAGAGGGTGCTGGACGGGAGAGACCGGAGACCAAGCAAAGACTCCCGAGAAGCTTTGACTCCTAGAATGGTCACTTTCCGTCTCAAAGCACTCTTCTGCCGGGAGGCAGACATTAAGGAAAGGCCCAGGTTCAAAGCCATTTCCCTACAGAGAGGGCTACTCACAGGCCACGGACCCATTGGCGATGTGGAACTGGTAGCTGTTCAGCACAGGCTGGCAGCCGAATTGCTTCAGCTTCTCATAGCAGCAGTCATGTGCCAGGCAGCATCTGGGGGCCAGAGCAGAGGAGAGGTGAGGGGCTTCCCTGGCGGGTGGGCCCTGGGGAATCAGCGGGAAGACCATAGGTGGAAACCGGAAAGGACTCCCCCGCCTCCTCCCCTGCATGAGAAGGCATTGAAGGGTAAGGAGGTAAGTTCCTGAAAATATTGAAACTACAAAAATAACCACTAACATCTAGTGAGCTCTTTCTGGCACCTTCTGCTATCCCATTAGCTCCTCAGCGTAACCCTGTGAAGGGTGATCATTGTCCCCATTTCATAGAGGAGGTGGCAGAATTCCAAGAGGGGAATTTCCCAAAACTGTACAGCTGGCAAATGATAGACACGGGGCTCAAATCTAGGTCCGTGTGGCTCAGTCATTCATGTAATGACTTTTTCCTGAGCATCTACCATGTGCCAAGCACTGTGACAGTCCCTGAGGAGACAGGTGTCAGCAAAAACACCCGTAACTCTTTAGTCCTTGTTCTCACCGTGCTGAGAGCAGCCGGGGACAGGAAGGGAGAAGATCCACAAAGAGAAAACAGCTCGGAATGCCTCAACCAGAGCACGAGGGGCAGGAAAGCAGAGACCGGGGACTGGATTCTAAGACACAGAAAAGAAGATGCTCTGGGCCAGACACTTCGGTCCTTCCTCTCGCCATCCCCACCTGCAAGTGGGCTCTCTGCTGTTTGTCGTTGTTGTCTAACGGTGGTAAAATTCTCGCCAGCCTTTGGTCTCGGAAGGGGAGGCACAGAGCGTCAAAGAGCCGGGACTTTGAACCAGGCAAGTTCTTGTTCAAATCCTGACCTAGCCACTCAGGGACTGCTGTGTCTTTGGCTTTGCCACGTTGGTTTAGTGGGTGCTCACAGTCGCCATCTGTAGGATACGGACAGCCACACTGCCTTGGCCACTGGATGCAAGGCTTAAAGGTAGGCCCTGTGTGCGAATCACCAATCCCGGTGCTCGGCCCATGATGGGCACTTCATCGGTGTCAGTGCCCCCGCAGGGCTCTGGGGTCCCTCCAGCTGGACTATTCCATGCCCGGCCCGGAGGACTCAAGCTCCAGGAGCGACATTTGAGGCCCCACTGCAGGGACGTATTTATCCACGTGGGGTTGAAAGCGGCAAGAAACACCTCGCTTCTTTTTTCTTCAGACACACGACGTGCAAACTATCCTGGTTCCTGTCTCCCCGTACCCTCTCCAGGTCACCCCAACCTCCGCTTTTTCTTGGGGCTCGCGCTCCCCACCCCCACGCCAAGGAGTAGGCCTGGCAGCCACGTTGGGCCATGTGGCCTCGCCCAGATGGACAACTTTTGCAAACTGGGCCACTGGGATTCTCTCTCCCCGAATGTGGAATTAGGCCCGGGAGACAGCAGGGCAGTCTTGCTGTGCTCTAAGCCTAAAAAACTGGGTTGCTGAGAGAAGACCATGTTTGCTGTGACGTCTGAGAACTGAAAACGTTTCTGGAGCTCTGGGCAGGACTGACTAGATAATTTTCGAGGTCTGGTGCAAAACGGGAATCCAGGGCACGTTGTTCAGACACGAGGATTTCAAGATGGCGGCTACAGGACAGCCAACCATCCATGGGCTTCTGTTACTTGCAACACAAGCGTCCTAACCTCCTGCCTCCCTTCGGGCACCGGTTTCAGTGCAAATCCAATGAGCGCTTTGGACTCACCTGTCAGTGTCATCCACGGGGTTCCCTTTGCCCCCAAGGCCACAGTAGCAGCCATATCCGTATATGAGAAGAAGGCGCTCCGCCCTGTGATGTACTTGACCGTCCTCTGAAACTGCCAGAAGCTGGGCCATCGCTGGAGGGCAGGAAGGAAGAAAGAAGGCGGGGTGCAGTGAGAACAATACCAGCAACTAGAGGGCTTGCATCCGGGACCTCAGGAGACCCCCAAACATGCTGCCTGAGCATGGCTGGGATCACCAGCCCCCGTCGTGGGGAAGACAATATGGCTGGAACACCGTGTCCCATGGCCAGTTTCTTGCTAGTCCGGGATGAGAACCCAGCTTCCACGATGTTCAGGACAATACTGTCAACTAGGTCTTCCCCCCACTCCCCACCCCCAGTGGAAAAAAAAACCAAACAAACCCCAAATCCACCATCTAAGGCAGAAACACCCTTAGGTCTAATGCAACATTTACGGGAAAAGTTCAAAGCTAGAGATGCCAGTTTCTCCAAATATCATCAGGCATTTACAATCTCGCAGGAGAAACAAAATACTTGAGAGGCAGAAAAGATGCCCTCAGTCTATTTTTTTTTTTAATGGCAAATACACATGGACCCAGCAATTTTTTACTTCTACAGAATGTTTACAAAAGTGGGGAAAGAATATATATATTCTGGGGGATGTTTGCTGCAGCGCGTCCCCTGTGGTATGAAAAAAATTGAACACCACCTACATATCCACTGACGGGGGAGATGTCTTGAAAACATCTACTTTTAATAGCAATATCTCCGGGCAGTGAGATTGAGGAAGTAGGTGGAGAAAAAGATAGGCACTGTTTATACACTTTTATGCTGTCTTTTTTTTTTTTTATAATGAGCATGTATTACTTTTGTATTAAAATGTTCAAAATGTGTGTGCGGAAAAGCCTAGAAGGTTGTATATCAAACTCTTAAGAGTGGTTAGTTACATCTGGGTGTAGGAGAAGGACTGGAGTCTGGGAGGGATGCGATGTGGCTTTTTTTTTTAAATGTTTATTTACTTTTGAGAGGGAGGGAGGGGCGGGGGGGGTGGACAGAGGATCCGAAGCGGGTTCTGAACTGACAGCAGTGAGCCGGATGCGGGGCTCGAACTTGAGAACCGTGAGATCATGACCTGAGCCAAAGCTGGACACTTAACTAACTGAGCCGCCTAGGCGCCCCAAGAAGTGGCTTCATCTTGGTAGTCTATACTCACTCGTTTCACTTCTTAATTACCTGCATATATTAATTTTGCCATACAATAACAGAAAAACATGAACTTGAAGAAAACGGAGATGGAGACACAGGGTTTTGGGAGGCGTTCACAGGAGACTTCCTGTGGTTTTGTTGTCCCAAAGCAGAAGCACTGTGGAGGGGGTAGGAAGCTCCTGTGGTCAGGGGTGCCTCAGGCGCTGATGGGGTGGGGGACACCAGGGAGGGAACTGGTTCTCCCTGCGTGGACCCCCCCACCCCCCACCATGGTCTTGAAAACAGCCAATTCCACCACTGACTGAGGGAAAATGGGAACTCCATTTTTGACATCTTTCGACTTAGGGACCCGAAAGCTACACTGTTGAAGCAGCGAAACGGATTTGGAGACATCTCTACTAATCAAACTAACCAGAGCAGAGTCAAAGAATTTTCCAACAACTGTTTCCAACACTGTTTCCTGTGAAGCTCTTTTTCACTTTGCGGAGTGGTGTTATCTGATCTCCTGGTAGCAATGACCTGTAATCACCCATGATTCCATAAGTCACCACAAGAGAGCCTTTCTGATGAGAACTAATTGTCCCTAAACTAGCTAGATACAGGTCTGCGTTTTTGTTCTGGCATCTACAAGACTTTAAAGGCAACGGGCATCCAAAGGAAAATAAAAAAGGGTCCCGGAGGGGGCGTGTGGTAAAACAGTAGTCAAAGGCCCTTTTTCTAGCAAATAGTTAGCAACCTTTGATTTTCTAGAAGTTTTGTGAGGTCCTAAGGCTGGGACCACCCCCTTTTGTAGAAGAAACAGAAGCAGAAGGAGTTTGGTGGGAACCTATTCCACTCCTGAGTCTCTTTTGAATGACACCTGATTTCCCCTCACCCGATGCCACCTCAGGAGGGGCCACCCCAAGACACAGACGCCCAGACACGAGGACAGCACCCCGGAGCTCTCCCAGCTCCTTACTACTTACGGCAGGAGGCAAAGACCACGAGAACTCCAATGGCCTTCATTCCCGAGGACATCTGGGGGGTCGGAGGCACCACAGTCACACCTTCCTCTGCTCACGAGGAGTCTGCCAGATGAACTCCTGAACGTGACCAAGAAGAGGGGAGGCCATGTGGGTGTGAAACCCCAATCACAGCGCAGGGCTCAGAGCAAAGGGATTTTTTTTTTTTTTT